GAAAATTGTGCTGATAGATTTGCTCCACATAGTGTTGCCACAAACTTTCAATTTCTAAAAATTGCATTATCCACAAAGCACAATAAATTGAAACACAATAAAATGAGGCATGCCGGTGTAAATAGTTGTGCTGTGATCATCCATATACAAATTTTTGTGTGACCATGTGTTTTCAGTTCTTTGAGTATATATGTGGGAGTGGAATTGCTGGATCATATGATAACTGACTCAATGGACATGAGTTTGAGCAAGCTCTGGGAGTTGGTGATGGACATGGAAGCCTGGTGTGTTGCAGTCCATGGGTCAGACAAAGAGTCAGACACAACTGAGTGACTGAACTGACTGATGATAACTTTGTTTAAATTTTTGATGAACTGCCAAGCTGTTTTCCAAAGGGGCTGTCCTATTTTATGTTCCTATCAGCAATGCCTTAAAGGCTCCAGTTTCTCCATATCCTCACAAGTACTTGTTACTGTCTCTTTTTTTATTAAAGTCATCCTGACCCTCTTACACTGTTGGTGAGAATGCAAACTAGTACAGCCATTATGGAGAACAGTGTGGAGATTCCTTAAAAAACTGGAAATAGAACTGCCATATGACCCAGCAATCTCACTGCTGGGCATACACACCGAGGAAACCAGAAATGAAAGAGACACATGTACCCCAACATTCGTCGCAGCACTGTTTACAATAGCCAGGACATGGAAGCAACCTAGATGTCCATCAGCAGACGAATGGATAAGAAAGCTGTGGTACATATACACAATGGAATATTACTCAGTCATTAAAAAGAATACACTTGAATCAGTTCTAATGAGGTGCATGAAACTGGAGCCTATTACACAGAGTAAAGTAAGTCAGAAAGAAAAACACCAATACAGTATACTAATGCACATATATAGAATTTAGAAAGATGGTAATGATAACCCCATATGCGAGATAGCAAAAGAGACACAGATGTAAGGAACAGTCTTTTGGACTCTGTGGGAGAAGGCAAGGGTGGGATGATTTGAGAGGGTAGCATTGAAATATGTATATTATCATATGTGAAGTGGATCTCCGGTCCAGGTTCCATGCATGAGACAGGGTGCTCAGGGCTGGTGCACTGGGATGACCCTGGGGGATGGGATGGGGAGGGAGGTGGGAGGGGGGTTCTGGATGGGGAAAACATGTGCACCCGTGGCTGACTCATGTCCATGTATGGCAAAAACCACTACAATATTGTAAAGTAATTAGCCTCCAATTAAAATAAATAAATAAATTTTAAAAATATAAAGTCATCCTGAAGTAAAGAAGTGGAGTGAAGTGAAGTCGGTTAGTTATATCCAATGAGGATGTGAAATGGTTTCCCATTGTAGTTTTGTATTGGCTATGTGAAAGTCGTTCAGTCGTGTCCAACTCTTTGAGACCCCATGGACTGTACAGTCCATGGAGTTCTCCAGGCCAGAATCCTGGAGTAGGTAGTCATTCCCTTCTCCAGGGGATCTTCCCAACCCAGGGAATGAACCCAGGTCTCCCACATTGCAGGCCGATTCTTTACTGTCTGAGCCACCAGGGACGCAAAAAGCCCCAGTTTTGTATTACCTGTCTCTAATAGTTATTAATAAGTGAGCGTCTTTGTATGGGCTTCCCTGGTGGCTCAGCAAGTAAAGAATCCACCTACAATGTGGGGGACCTGGGTTCAAGACCTGGGTTCGATCCCTGGGTTGGGAAGATCTCCTGGAGAAGGGAAAGGCTACCCACTCCAGTATTCTGGCCTGGAGAATTCCATGGACTATATTAGTCCATGGGGTCACAAAGAGTCGGACACGACTAAGTGACTTTCACTTCTTTCATTTGTTTTTCTTCCTTGGAGGAATGTATCTATTCAAATACTTTGCCCATTTTTTCCCTTTGCCCATTTTTAATTGGATTGTCATTTGTTGTTGAGTTGTAAGTTGTTCTGGATACTAGATTCTCATCAGATACATTATTTGCAAATTTCTCCTGTTCTGTGTATTGTCTTTTCACTTTCTTGATAGTGTCCTTTGAAGCACAAAATTGTCTAATTTTAATTTTTTATATAATTTTATTTATTTATTTTTGGCTGTGCTGGGCCTTCGTTGCTGTGTGGGCTTTTCTCTAGTTGCAGAGAGTGGGGGCTACTCTCTAGTTGTGGTGCATGGGCTTCTCATTGCTGTGGCTTTTCTTGTTGTGAAGCATGGGTGTATGGTGCACAGGCTTCAGTAGTTCCAGCATGTGGGCTCAGTAGTTGTGGCTCCCGGGGTCTAGAGCACACACTCAATAGTTGTGGCACACAGGCTTAGTTGCTCTGAGACATGTGGGATTTTCCTGGATCAGGGATTGAACCCGTGTCTCCTGCACTGGCAGTTGGATTCTTTACCACTGAGTCACCAGGGAAGCCCTAATTTTAATTTTAATGAAGTTCAATTTATCTGTTTTTTTTCTTTTATTGTTTGCGTTTTTCATGTCATATGTAAGAAACCATTGCCAAATCCAAGGCCAGCAAACTACCCTAGGTTTTCTTCCAAGAGTTACAGTTTAAGCTCTCACTGTAGGTCTTTGATCCTCTTTGAGTTAATTTTCATATATGGTATGAGGTAGGGTTCCAACTTCATCCTTTTCAATGTGAATATCCAGTTGTACCTGCATCATTTATTGAAAAGACTACTCTCCCTGCACCATTGAATTTTCTTGGCACCCTTGGCAAAAATTGACCATAAATGTAGAGTTTGTTTCTGGACTCTCAATTCCATTCTGTTGCTATAAAAAGTTTATTTAATTAATACATTATTTTCCATGAGGCTTAACTTGGGACCACTTGGAGTAGAATCCCTATCATTTTACCCACACTTATGATCTAATTTAAGTAGGGTGCAATGGGACCTAATTTAGGGAAATGAAGCTGATTGATTAATAGGTCTCCAGGAAATGAGGAATAGGAGGTGTGGTGGGTTTTGTATTAGAAACAGCTTTAGAGTGGCTTTGAGCAAATTACTTCACCTCTAGGAGTTTTGTGTGTGTGTGTGAGTCACTCAACCATGTCCAACTCTTTGTGACCCCATGGACTGTGTAGCCCACCAGGCTCCTCTGTCCATGGGATTCTCCAGGCAAGAATACTGGAGTGGATTGCCATTTCCATCTCCAGGTGATTGTCCCAACCCAGGGACTGAACCTGGGTCTCCCGCCCTGAGAGCAGATTCTCTACTGTCTGAACCACCTGGGAAGCCCCAGCTACTGTGAAATGGAGATGGTGGCAATCTCGAGGGGTGTTAGCATTCAGAGACAGAGGCTGTGAAAATGATGGCATAGTCTCTGGTACATGGTAGGTTCTTTGTTATTACTATTTTGTTGACTATGCCACGTGGCTCTTGGGATCTTATTTCCCCAACCAGGGCTTGAAACTGGGCCCTTGGCAGTGAAAGGGCTGAGTACTAACCACTGGACCACCAAGGAATTCCTCTCAGTAAGTTCTTGACATAAAGTACACTCACAGCTGGTACGTGGTCTTGTAAGTGCCCTCCCTCCTGACCCAGGGTGATTATGTGGGATCAGGAGAGATGGGCTACTCAGGTTCTCATGGCTCTACCCTGTGTCCTCCACTGTGCAGCAATTTTGATTCCATCCCTCCACCTTTCTACCAGGTGCAGGATAAAATGGGCTTCCCAGGCATTTCAGTAGTAAAGAATCCACCTGCCAATGCAGGAGATGCAAGTGACACAGTTTCGATCCCTGGGTTGGAAAGATCCCCTGGAGAAGGAAATGGCAACCCACTCCAGTATTCTTGCCTGGAAAATCCCATGGACAGAGGAACCTGGCGGGCTATAGTCCATAGGATCGCAAAGTGTCAGACATGACTGAGTGACTGAGAACATACACACACACAAGAGGAAAAGTGTTCTCCACAGACCAGCTTTCTGGTTAGGTTTCAGGGAATCCCAGTAGTGAACCATACACAGTAATTAAGAAATAATTATATCCAGTTTTATATCTCTAGAGCTTTATTTCATAGAAGAAATAGCATAGTTTTTTTTAATTTTAAAATTTATTTTTATTATTTTTTTACCAAGTGGCATAGCACATAGGATCTTAGTTCCCTAAGCAGGGATTGAACCCATGCCCCCTGCATTGGACGCATGGAGTCTTAACCACTGGACTCCCAGGGAAGTTCAAGAAATAGTATAATTTTTAATAAACTTTTTGCCAGTGTAGAACTGTATCACAGCTGAGGGAATCATGCCTGCTTGGATTAAGAAATCACAGCTCAGGTCACCGGTTTACCTTGTGGTAGCCTCTAAATTGTAAGGAAAGGGCCTAAAAGGAAACAAACCATCCCTGTTCTTAAGAAGGTTTCTCAGTGGATTGCCACAAAATATCATGGAGGACAAATGCAAGTTTCAGAAAAGTATGCTTCATGTGATCCCATCATCCTTATTTTAACTAAAACAATGACAAAACTATTGGCATATAAATGTATATGTATGTGTTTAAAATTCATAGACAAATACAAAATAGCCAAACATAAAAATAGGAAACAAGATTGACAATGATGGGAAAAAGTGTTTATTGACATAAATGAGATGGTTTTTAATTAATGAAAATAAAAATAGAAATCTAAAAAAAAAAAAAGCTTCTAAGCCTCAACCTAAACAGTGATGGTGTGGTGTTACTAAGGCTCAGGAGGAAGGACATGGTATTCTTTGGCTTCTTATTCCTCTGATCAGAGTTGGTTGGAATTAGGAAGCCAAAATAACTGGCGCACAGAGACTTACAAGACTATGTGTACTCACAAAAGACTGCTTGCTAAACTGGGTTGTTGTCCAGTCTTCCCCATAACTCTGGTTCCTTCCTCAGCCTGACTCATTAAGTACTTTCTAGCTTGGCTGGCCTCATCATTCAACCCTGAGACCCTCCCCTCTTCCCAGATTCTCCTTTCCTTGTGGCCCTGCTTGGATCCCTCAATGCTTTGGGAGTTCGATAATGGGGAAATCCAACTCCTGTTAGACAATTGTCAGCTCCTGGGTCTCAGACAGACCATACTGAACTTTGTGCTCATCAAACAGCTTCTGAAGGGCATTGATGTAGAGTGCATGGTACTTGTCCACTGTCTCCTTGTCTGGCTTCTTTATCCTGGGAATTGGCAGGGGCTCCCCAACTGTGGGGCAAGAGAAGAGACAAGCATCAGATCTCCCCCCTTAATTCAAACTATCATCCCTCAGAGGAAGTCACATACTGAAACTCGGTATCTTGGTCCCCTCTACCTCCTTTATTCTTTCCCCCTGCTCCAACCCCACCCTGTCCCATGTTCTCCAAATACCTAATCTCATGCATGCTTAAGAGAATGAGAGTAAACTTAGGAGCGTGCTGGAGGCACGTGTGTGAATAATGATGCCCTCATGGCAGCTGTTGAACTCTGTCCCTACTGTGAATGGCCACAACTCTTATCTGCGTAGTTGTCCTCCCTACCCTACCCTCAACCACAACCACCGGAATTCCCATTGCTCATCCCAGCTGTGTGCCAGGCCCCCTGGGACTTGAGGGCTGGGTGGGGGGAATTAAGGACCAGGGTGGTCCAAAGATGCTGGAAAGCTTACCAACTGTGGTAATGGGATGATTGAAAGGCAGGAATCCCCAGGATCCTCGAGTGAGGCCCCGGCCATGGAAGGTACAGAAATTTAGTCCCAGGATTTTTTTGAATGTGTTCTGGAAGGTTTTTTGGAAGAACCTTTTCCACGTGCCCTCAGGGAAGGTTTCTTGATTGTGAACTTCATTCTGTCCAAAGGAATAGGAAGGGACAAGGTATGCTCTGCAAAGAGACAGGCAGAAGTGTGAGTTCTTCCAGGAAGCTCCCCACAGTGAAACCCTCTCCAAGGTAGGAAATCTTTACAATGGCCCCATTATAGGACAAGAATCCAAGCACCCAAGCATCTCCAGCACTGTGTATTATCCTTGCTATGCTCCACATCCCTCCAACTGAACATTTTGAGGGGAGTTGCTGCACTTTGTCCTGTGATGGCAGGAAATGAATCACTAATCTCAGGAAATCTAATTGCCTAAATTGTAGACATCCAGAGGATCTTCCTAAACTGTGTGTCTGGACATGTCACTCCTCTCTTGAAAACTCTTCCCAGAACTCCTCACTTTGTACCAGGTGCTTGGCGTGGCCTTTGTGCTCCAGCCTTGCCTCCCTGGCTAGGTTCTGCTCTCCCCAGCCCTTTGTCACAGTCTGCTTAGCCATACTAAGTGTGCTAAGTTCTTACTCGTTCTATGCGTCTTTGTACATCCTACTCCCTCTGCCAAAAATGCCTTCCCTCTGTCTTCATGTGGCTTATTCTATTTTGCCCTTCACTATTCAGCTCCAGTTTCATCCCCTTGAACCACCTCCTCCAACTTCTCCCACCCCCAACCCCTGCATCTAGTGCTTACCTCTTTCCTACACTAATACTACCCCAACTCTGTACTTCTTCCTGGCTGCCTCCCAGTAGACAGCAAGCCATTTGAAAATGTCTTATTCATCTCTGAACTCCTAGGGCCTGGCATAGTGCCTGACATATTGTCATAGGCCCTCGCTGAATACCTGAGTTCTTTCTCCCCTTTGGTTGGACTGGCAACTCCTACTAATATTTCAATTCACAATTCAGATGTCACCCACTTATGAAACTTCTACTTTGGGTGAAAGGCTTTCCATCAGTTGGTGCTCTCATAGTGCTTTGTACATATGTCCATCATGACACATCTTTCAATCAATAAATATTTATTGAATTCCTTCTATGTACCAGTGCTTTTTTCAAGCCCTCGGGATATATAAGTGAACACAGTGGATTAAAAAAATAATCTCTGTCATCATGGAACTTATCTCTTATTAAGGGAAGACAAACAATAAATAACGATGAACAAATAAAAAGCCATATGTGTAAAGAAATAAAACTGATGACATGAGAAGATAATACGTTCAATGGGAAAAAACAGAACAGCATGATCAGGATAGACCTTATTGAGAATAGACATTTGAGCAAAGACCTGAAGGCAGTAAAAGAATGAGCCAAACAGCTATTTGGAGGAATAATGTCCTAGACAGAGGAAACAGCTAGAGCAAAGACCCTAAGGGAGGAGCATGTGGCTTTTTTGAGGAACAGCAAGGAACAGCTCTAATGGAGGGAGTGAAGGACCCTCCATTAGAGGTGGGTGAAGGACCAGATCATTTAGGGTCTTGCAGGCCCTTTAAAGACTTTGGTTTTGCTCACACTCTCTGACATAAATCACAGCAGGATCCTCTATGACCCACCTCCCAGAATATTGGAAATAAAAGCAAAAATAAACAAATGGGACCTAATTAAACTTAAAAGCTTTTGCACAACAAACGAAACTATAAGCAAGGTGAAAAGACAGCCCTCAGATTGGGAGAAAATAATAGCAAACGAAGCAACAGATGAAGGATTAATCTCAAAAATATACAAGCAACTCCTGCAGCTCAATTCCAGAAGAATAAATGACCCAATCAAAAAATGGGCCAAAGATCTAAACAGATATTTCTCCAGAGAAGACGTACAGATGGCTAACAAACACATGAAAAGATGCTCAACATCACTCATTATCAGAGAAATGCAAATCAAAACCGCAATGAGGTACCATTACACGCCAGTCAGGATGGCTGCTATCCAAAAGTCTACAAGCAATAAATGCTAGAGAGGGTGTGGAGAAAAGGGAACCCTCTTACACTGTTGGTGGGAATGCAAACTAGTACAGCTGCTATGGCGAACAGTGTGGAGATTTCTTAAAAAAACTGGAAATAGAACTGCCATATGACCCAGCAGTCCCACTCCTGGGTATACACACTGAGGAAACCAGATCTGAAAGAGACACGTGCACCCCAATGTTCATCGCAGCACTGTTTATAATAGCCAGGACATGGAAGCAACCTAGATGCCCATCAGCAGACGAATGGATGAGGAAGCTGTGGTACATATACACCATGGAATATTACTCAGCCGTTAAAAAGAATTCATTTGAATCAGTTCTAATGAGATGGATAAAACTGGAGCCCATTATACAGAGTGAAGTAAGCCAGAAAGATAAAGACCAATACAGTATACTAATGCATATATATGGAATTTAGAAAGATGGTAACGATAACCCTATATGCAAAACAGAAAAAGAGACACAGATGTACAGAACAGACTTTTGGACTCTGTGGGAGAAGGTGAGGGTGGGATGTTTCGAGAGAACAGCATTGAAACACGTATATTATCTAGGGTGAAACAGATCACCAGCCCAAGTTGGATGCATGAGACAAGTGCTCGGGGCTGGTGCACTGGGAAGACCCAGAGGGATCGAGTAGAGAGGGAGGTGGGAGGGGAGATCGGGATGGGGAATACATGTAAATCCATGGCTGATTCATGTCAATGTATGACAAAAACCACTATAATATTGTAAAGTAATTAGCCTCCAACTAATAAAAATAAATGGGAAAAAAAAATAAAGACTTTGGTTTTGCTCAGAGTGAAATGGGAGCCATCGGAGCATTTTGAGTAGTGACATGATCTCATCTGACTCATGGTGGATAGGATCATGCTGGCCACAGTTGAGAACAGACTCTGGAATGTGAGGGAGGCAAGGATAGAAGCAGGGAGAGCTTTTAGGAGACTTGCAATAATCCAGGGGAGAGATGATGGGGTGGAAAACCAGGGGGTGATAGTTGAGATGGTAAGGGGTTGGCTTCTGGATATATTATGTAATTATACATGACTATGTCTGTTTTCCATTGGACTGTGAGACCTTTAAGGCAAGGACCAAGTCTTATTTATTTTTAGATCCTCAATGCTTAGTACTATGCCTGACACACAATAGCTGTTCAATAACTGCCTTCTACTTTTCAAACCAGATTATGTGCTGTTTGGGGGCTGTATCCATATCTTCTGCATCTTTGCAAACCCCACAGCATCAAGTCCAGTGCCTTCCTTGGCCTGGGTAGTTTCTCTGGGCCTCACAGTGCATGGGGTGATATAGTCTAAAGTCCCACTTCCCCAGACCCCCAGCCTACCAGGTAATGTGCAGAAGATAAAGGTCTTTTACTGTTCTTTCTCCAACTTCAAGTTTTAGCAGAACCCATCAGAATGTGTCTGGAGCCAGAAACTATAAAACTCCTAGAGGAGAACAAAGGCAAAACACTCTCCGACATAAATCACAGCAGGATCCTCTATGACCCACATCCCAGAATTTTAGAAATAAAAGCAAAAATAAACAAATGGGACCTAATGAAACTTAAAAGCTTTTGCACAACAAAGGAAACTATAAGCAAGGTGAAAAGACAGCCCTCAGATTGGGAGAAAATAATAGCAAACGAAGCAACAGACAAAGGATTAATCTCAAAAATATACAAGCAACTCCTCCAGCTCAACTCCAGAAAAATAAATGACCCAATCAAAAAATGGGCCAAAGAACTGAACAGACATTTCTCCAAGGAAGACATACAGATGGCTAACAAACACATGAAAAGATGCTCAACATCACTCATTATCAGAGAAATGCAAATCAAAACCACAATGAGGTACCATTACACACCAGTCAGGATGGCTGCTATCCAAAAGTCTACAAGCAATAAATGCTGGAGAGGGTGTGGAGAAAAGGGAACCCTCTTACATTGTTGGTGGGAATGCAAATTAGTACAGCCACTATGGAAAACAGTGTGGAAATTTCTTAAAAAGCTGGAAATAGAACTGCCATATGACCCAGCAATCCCACTTCTGGGCATACACACCGAGGAAACCAGATCTGAAAGAGACACATGCACCCCAATGTTCATCGCAGCACTGTTTATAATAGCCAGGACATGGAAGCAACCTAGATGCCCATCAGCAGACGAATGGATGAGGAAGCTGTGGTACATATACACCGTGGAATATTACTCAGCCGTTAAAAAGAATTCATTTGAATCAGTTCTAATGAGATGGATGAAACTGGAGCCCATTATACAGAGCGAAGTAAGCCAGAAAGATAAAGACCATTACAGTATACTAACACATATATATGGAATTTAGAAAGATGGTAACGATAACCCTATATGCAAAACAGAAAAAGAGACTCCGATGTATAGAACAGACTTGTGGACTCTGGGAGAAGGCGAGGGTGGGATGTTTCAAGAGAACAGCATCGAAACATGTATATTATCTAGGGTGAAACAGATCACCAGCCCAGGTTGGGTGCATGAGACAAGTGCTCGGGCCTGGTGCACTGGGAAGACCCAGAGGGATCGGGTGGAGAGTGAGGTGGGAGGGGGGACCGGGATGGGGAATACATGTAAATCCATGGCTAATTCATTTCAATGTATGACAAAAACCACTGCAATGATGTAAAGTAATTAGCCTCCAACTAATAAAAATAAATGAAAAAAAAAAAAAGATCCCATATGCCACAACTAAGACCAGAAACAGCCTAAATAAATAAATATTTCTTTAAAAAAAAAAAAAAGAATGTGTCTGGAGGCCCAAACACCCTTAAGGCACAGTGTGAGGGAGTAGAAAGAAGCAATGAGGGTGAAGAGGGAGCCCCTTCTAACACATTTCCAAGAGAGGGCACCATTTTGGAGAGGTGCCACAGAATACCTAGGATGCCCTGACGATAGGACACTAGAACCTGGGGACCCACCCTGTCTTCAGTGCCACCTTCACAAAACCTTTACGCTGTTTAAGGAGGACAGTAGAGGCTCCTGGGTGGCACAAGAGGGCTTCAGTAGCTCCACCCACAGAAATAACCACAGCATTGCCTGAGCCTTTCTGGGTCAGCAAATACTTCAAGGCCAACTCACTCACTGGGCACACACCTGCAAAATCAAAGAGGCAAATGACACACAGATGTGGTGCTTGAGGAGGGGGTAAGGTGTTCCTTGGGGCTCTTCCTTATAGAGACAGTTCTTTTGTCTCCTGGCTGTGATTGTTTCCAATCTTCTGTCTTTGACCTGCCCTCCACACCTTGGGTTAGCCCTAGCCTGAGATCGGTCCTTAGGGCCAGCTGCTTGCCTTGGGGCTCTGTGCTACTTAAGTGGGAGCTACATTGAGTTCTTCTGCCTACTTTCTCATAGCTCTATAGCTTGTAAAGCCCATCCTTTCTTCTCTACCCTGGTAACCACAGTGGTCTCCCACTCTCCCCAGGCTGATGTCACTTGAGACTCTAGAGTTCTCTTTCCTGAGGGTAATCAGGAACAGCCACCACCAAACTGCTTCCTCCTTAGAGTAACCTGGTAAAGGTAAGCCATTCCCTGGGGTTTCTAGAGAGTAGGCCGACCCAGGATCCCATCCAAGCCAAACTGGCATGTAGATGAACCGTGGAATGAGGATGACATCCTGTTGCTCAACAACAGTCACAGAGTCTTTCCTCATCTCTGCTTCCCATCTCTGCCCTGTGCTTACTTTCTGCTCTCTCCTGGATGGCAGACATTGGCTCCAGGCCACAGTCCTTAAGATCCAGATTCATGCCAAACTGAGAGGTGAGAAGAATCATCCCCTGGGACTCCAGTGGTCCCACTTGGCCCCTCCAGATATAAATGTATCTTACCTTTTAATGTTTGGCTTCTTTGTTTCCTGGTGTCCAGAAGGATGGATATTCACCCGGAGAGAAGGACATTTGGCACAGTACCCTGGCCTGAAGCCTGGCATGGGGAAGTTGCCCTGGATTCTGATGGATGCCTATCCTTTTATCCCTTGATATCTTATACAAATTCAAAGGGGTTCTCAGGAGATGAAGGTCATGGGCCAAGAGGGTACCAGCTAGTATGAAAGTCTCAAAAGTGTCTTTGAGATGCCCTGGAATGATACCTGCTACATAAATGACTGCCCAAAAGAAGCCAATTGACATCCCAGAAACAGTCTGGCAAAGTATATCTGAGCTGTCCCATTCATGCCTGATTTTCCCTACATTTGGTTTTGATATTTGACTTCTGCCTTTTCCTTTCCACTTTGGCTTTGATCCCGAACCCCAGGCTTCTGCTTCCTCCTCTGAAAGGATTTTTGGCAACTCTTATGAATGCCTTTAACTTACCCTCTTACCTAATCAAACCCTGCCTCCCAGATTAATCCTGAGGCTTGGCCACATATTCCTGTCACTGGCCCAGTGTGCTCGGGACTCATTTTCTACTAAGTGTTCTTCCAGCAGGGAGTGAGTACTGGACTGACTCAAGGCTTATTAAAGTTGGAGCCCCAAGGTAGGTCAGAGAATGGAATGGTCTCTTATACTCACCCATTGACATCACATATTCTCGCACAAGTGGGATCCAGAAGATCCCTTCCAAGGTTGCTACATAAGGAGTGATGGCTGGGAAAATCCGAGCAAAGCCAGTGGTCTCAGTGGCAAAATTGATGAAGACACCATAAGGGAGTACGCCGTGGGGGTGGTTGACAATGATATAGTTGTGTCTGGGAGAAAGGTCATGAGTCTTCACCAGCTGTTAGAGGGAGATCGAGTCAGAGCAGTAGATAGAAGGAAGAGAGGACATGTGGACTCAGAGGCCAGCAGGTAGCCTGTGTTTCCCTTGGAGAGCCCCTAATCCTTATTCACTGGGATATTGTCACTCTCATAGAATTGCCAGGGGTTATCATACTCAGTGAGGCTGACCTGAGTTTGCCACTGTGAGGCAAGGTGCTATTCATTCATTTCCCCACCTGCCCATCCATCTTGGGACTGTACTCTATATTATGCCTCTGGGCTTTGACCTCCACTGTTGTCCACAAAAGCCTTTGAAAATATGGGGCTGACACTATGGAAAACAGTGTGGAGATTTCTTAAAAAGCTGGAAATAGAACTGCCATATGACCCAGCAATCCCACTTCTGGGCATACACACCGAGGAAACCAGATCTGAAAGAGACACGTGCACCCCAATGTTCATCGCATCACTGTTTATAATAGCCAGGACATGGAAGCAACCTAGATGCCCATCAGCAGATGAATGGATGAGGAAGCTGTGGTACATATACACCATGGAATATTACTCAGCCATTAAAAAGAATTCATTTGAATCAGTTCTAATGAGATGGATGAAACTGGAGCCCATTATACAGAGTGAAGTAAGCCAGAAAGATAAAGACCATTACAGTATACTAACACATATATATGGAATTTAGAAAGATGGTAACGATAACCCTATGTGCAAAACAGAAAAAGAGACTCCTATGTATAGAACAGACTTGTGGACTCTGGGAGAAGGCGAGGGTGGGATGTTTCAAGAGAACAGCATTGAAACACGTATATTATCTAGGGTGAAACAGATCACCAGCCCATGTTGGGTGCATGAGACAAGTGCTCGGGCCTGGTGCACTGGGAAGACCCAGAGGGATTGGGTGGAGAGGGAGGTGGGAGGGGGGACCGGGATGGGGAATACATGTAAAAAAAAAAAAAAAAAGATACACTATGGTTGTGATAAAAAAAAAATAAATTAAAAAAAAAAAGAATCCACCTTCAAAAAAAATAAAATAAAATAAAATTACCACAGTGGTTGACATGATACCACTTCTTTAAAAAAAAAAAAAAAAGAAAAGAAAATATGGGGCTGAGTGGGGAGCGAGAGTCTGGGCAACAGGGACTGAGGCCCTCCAGAGGAAGGGTCGTTACCTTTACTGGGAAGTAATTTCGGAAATATTTCCAGATTGTCCAGTTTCGTACCCAAGCAGAACGTCTACCACCTGCCAGTACAGAGGGAAGGGAAGAGCAGGTGAGGTCTTGCCAATCCCTCTACTTCTTCTGGAGGTGGAGGGATCTTCCTAATGTCCTCGGGTCATAGGAGGGGGCTCCTTTTAACATTTCCATGTTTCTTGGGCATAGAACTATAAGGTCTGTCCCTCAATCCAATCCCCTAGAAGACACAGGCAGCCCCTGCTCTTCTGGCGCTGCCAGAAAGGTGAGAGAGAAATAACATGAGGCTGGGAGCACCCGCTCAGAAACCAGCCTCTTAATTCTTCCTGGGCAGCCTGGCCGAGCCCTCTATTCCTGCTGAGCTTTGGACCCCTGTCTCTCTTCTCTTCCCTCTCTCCTTTGCCCTTCCTCCTCTCTCCCTCACTTCCGCTCCCTGCCCTCCTTTCCCTTTCCCCTTCTTTCCTCTCCTCACCTCTCCCCCCCCGCCTCTCTCACTCTTCCCTTCCACCCTCACTCCGTCCCTGTGGTTCCATCCTTGGCACAGACAGGGATCACTGCTCTTCCCCTGTTTCTTACCTTGATTGTGGGTGTTCCAGTCATAGGCGAGCCAGGCTAAGGCAAGCACAGACACCATCCAGAACTTAGTGAACACCAGAAAGTAGGGTATAAGGATAATAGGAATAGCTCCTGAGGGGACACAAGGGGTTCATGCCCTTTAGTTCCCTTCAAGTTTAATACACATCTCATGACCCCAGTCTCTGCTCTGTAGTGAAGAAGCAGGTCAAGGCCAGCGTGAGACTGTTCTTCCCTCATCCCCTCCACTCCCCATCTCCCTCCTAGCTCTGCTGTTGTCCAGGATGACCTCTGAGTTCCTGAATCTGGGCCCCCTTGATGACTGCGATCTTAACTGAGGAAATGGCAGAACCATGGCATTCTCAGAGTAGGTCCTCAGCTGGGATCAAAGGACAGCACTACTTGGCAACTGAAAGTAACCGCATCTTGTGCCAAAGGCTGACATCCCCATTCTGAGACCTCAGGAAGTCCTCAACCTTCCTTCCTTTGTCAAACTGCTCTGTCAGCACATTCCAGTGGAGAGGGGCTGCCTGCACTGTACAGGCTGTTTGATGCTGAGAGGAAAATACATATTATAAACTGCTTTACTGTGTTCAATTTCATCCCATTCAAAATGGGTCAAAAGTTCAGAAGGGGGAAAAATCATCTCTGTCAGCAAAGGGTCACAGCAGACTGTGAAATGTGAATGTGATACATCTTACAGCTGTGGGAGTTGAATTCTATTTTAAAATCTGCATCCATGAGAAAGAGGGGCTCATACCCATATTGTGAATTTTAAAAAATTCAGCTAAAGGAATGACTTCGTTGACCAAATAACCATATCACAGTAGATAAAAGTTTCAGAGAAGGGGGAGAAACTCAAGAGTCACCAAACAGCAGATATGTCTCTTGCATCTTGGACTCTGATGGAAATAACAGGAAAAAGATGGAATGGGCATTTCAAAAAAAAAGTCATGTTGTGGGTTAGAAGAAATCTTAGTGATAGGCTGAATTCCCCTTACAAGATCTGGCTGAGATGGCTGTTGTAAGCATGCTAATTAAATAAGAAATAGTAGGGGGAGGAATTTTATGGGAAGCTTGCCATGGATAAAAATCCTGCTACCTCTGACCCTCACAAAGGATGAGAGTAAATTTGCTGGGTAAGCCTCAGAAGAAAACTCAGATAAAATTAAATGTGAATCATTATTAATTAAAGGGAGCCTAAGTATATAATTTCTTTTATATCTTACTTCTAATAAATTTAGTTTGTATCACCAGCAATTAGAAGAGCGCTTTGCATGCAGTAAGTGTTCAGCAAATATCTATAGACAGACTGAAAGATGAAGAAATGTTTTCTCTTTTCAATATTATGTAAACTTAAATGATTAGTGTTTAGTCAGCATTTGTGTTGTCTAAATACAATGTTATTTTGAAAGTATAGATGGGTTAACTTCATGCTTTATATCTGATCATTTTCAGTAATCCATCAGTCCTAAAAGTAGTCTATTGAACTGGTCTATTCCAGTTGAGCTATTTCAAATCCTAAAATATGATACTATAAAAGTGTTGCACTCAATATGCCAGCAAATTTGGAAAACTCAGCAGTGGCCACAGGACTGGAACAGGACTGGAGTTTTCATTACCATCTCAAAGAAAGGCAATGCCAAAGAATGTTCAAACTATCACACAATTGCCCTCATCTCACATGCTAGGAAAGTAATGCTCAAAATTCTCCAAGCCAGGCTTCAACAGTCTGTGAACCTTGAACTTTCAGATGTTCAAGCTGGATTTAGAAAAGGCAGAGGAACCGGAGATCAAATTGCCAACATCCGTTGGATCATTGAAAAAGCAAGAGAGTTCTAGAAAAACATCTACTTCTGCTTTATTGACTATGCCAAAGACTTTGACTGTGTGGATCACAACAAACTGTGACCTGTCTCTTGAGAAATCTGTATACAGGTCAGGAAGCAAGAGTTAGAACTGGACGTGGAACAACAGACTGGTTCCAAATAGGGAAAGAGTACATCAAGGCTGTATATTGTCACCCTGCTTATTTAACTTATATGCAGAGTACATCATGAGAATGATGAATTCATCATGGATGAATCACAAGCTGGAATCAAGATTGCCAGGAGAAATATCAATAACCTCAGATATGCAGATGACACCACACTTATGGCAGAAAGCGAAGACCTAAAGACCCTCTGATGAAAGTGAAAGAGGAGAGTGGAAAAATTGGCTTAAAACTCAACATTCAGAAAACTAAGATCATGGCATCTGGTCCCATCACTTCATGGCAAATACATGGGGAAACAGTGGAAACAGTGACAGACTTTATTTTGAGGGGTCCAAAATCACTGCAGGTGGTGACTGCAGCCATGAAAGTGAAAGACGCTTGCTCCTTGGAAGAAAAGTTATGACCAACCTAGACAGGATATTAAAAAGCAGAGACATTACTTTGCCAACATAGTTCCATCTAGTCAAAGCTCTGGTTTTTCCAGTAGTCATGTATAGATGTGAGAGTTGGACTATAAGGAAAGCTGAGCGCTGAAGAATTGATGCTTTTGAACTGTGGTGTTGGAGAAGACTCTTGAGAATTCCTTGGACAGCAAAGAGTTCCATCCAGTCCATCCTCAAGGAATCAATTGGAAGGACTGATGCTGAAGCTGAAACTACAATACCTTGGCCACCTGATGTGAAGAACTGACTCACTTGAAAAGACCCTGATGCTGGGAAAGATTGAAGGCGAGCGGAGAAGTGGACAACAGAGGATGAGATGGTTGGATGTCATCACCGACTCAATGGACTTGAGTTTGAGTAAACTCTGGGAGTTGGTGATGGACAGGGAGGCCCGGCATGCTGCAGTCCATGGGGTCGCAAAGAGTCAGACACGACTGAGCTACTGAACTGAACTGAGAGCCATATCTCAATAAACATCACTCCCCTTGTGAAATCAGTTAGAACTACAGATGTGGCACCTCAGAGGACCATAAGTGTCCTTTGAGGGCAATCTTGCCAGACCCAACCTGTTTGAGTATCATTGGTGTCACTTATGGTGACAAAAGGGAGATTTAAAGAGAGAAGAGAAACACAGGCTAAACATGGAAGGGCTTGACTTTGTGAAACAAGGAGTTTTGTGAAAGAAAGCAAAGAATAAAGGACACATTTGTGTATGTGTATGTGTGGCACTATCTTAGACATTATGGCCTTGACACAAAGAGATGCTTCCAACACCTTGTCCATGTTCAAGTGAGTAGTTTTGAAGTGGATTATCAAGGAGGAAGTACACATAAGGCAGGCTCTTAATTTAGTTTGTACTGAAGATGGCTAAACCATTCTAATAGATGTGTAGCATGGTATCTCATCATCGTTTTTATTTCATCTCCCTTATACCTAACCATGCTTAACAATTTTTTATGTGTTTACCTGTCTTTTGTATATCCTTTTTGGTGAAGTATCTATTAAAATATTTGGCTCATTTTTCAATTGGATTGTTTGTTTTCTTTGTGAGTTTCTTTATACAATCTGGATACAATTTCTTTTTTTTTTTATACAAGTCTTTTATCAGATATGTGATTTGAAAACATTTTCTCCAGTTTATGTTTATCTTAAAAAAACTTTTTTTTTGGCCATGCAACAAGGCTTGTGGGATCTTAGTTCCCAGACCAGGGATTGAACTCAGGCCCTCAGTGAAGCACAGAGTCCTAAACACTGGAATGCCAGGAAATTCCCTGTGTTTACCTTTTTATTCTCTTAACAGAGTCTTTCTTAGAGCAAAAACTTTTAATTTTGATGAAGTCCAATGTATCATTTTTTTTCTTTTACAGATTGTGCTTTTGATACTAAATCTAAGAACTCTTTACTTAACCTCAGGTCATGAAGGTTTTCTCTTACATTTTTTACTACAAGTTTTATGTTTTACTTTTTAGATCTGTGATCCATTTTGAGTTAATATTATAATAAGGTGTGAGGTTTTGGTCAAGATCCATTTACTATATATGGATAACCAATTGTCCCAACATTGTTTATTGAAAATGCTATCCTTCCTCTGTTGAATTGCTTTTGCATGTTTGTCAAAAATCAATTGACCATATTTGTGCAGGTCTGTCTGGACTCTATTCTGTTCTATTGATCCATGTGCTTATCTCTTCACAAATATATCACTGTCTTGATTACTGTAGTTTTCCATTAAGTCTTAAAACCAGATAGTGTGATCCTCTAACTATTCTCTTTTCAAAATGGTTTTAGATATTGTAGTTCTTTTGTTTTTCTATATAAATTGTACAATCATCTTGTCGATGTTTATAAAAACACCTGGTGAGGCTTTTCAAATTAAACTTTTTATTTTGAAAAAGACTTAAATAGAAAATTTGCAAGAATAATTTAATAAAATCCCACATAAGCTTCACCTAGATCTCTTTATTGTCAACATTTTGCATTTGACTTATTCCTAAATATAAGTATATAAATCTATGTTTGTATTTATAGTCCATTGCAGAGATCACAATGCTTTGCTTCTAAGTAACTCTGTATTTTCTAAAAATTAAGTCACTCACAGTGCCATTATCAAATTTGGGAAATTTAGTATTTAGGAAAAACTGTTATCAAATGCACTCTGTTGGGATTTTTATTTGAGCTGTGTTACATTTATAGATCAGATTTGAGAACTGACATCTTTGAGTTTTCCAATCCATGAACACAGTATGTCTCCATTTAGGTCTTTAATTTTATTAGCATGTTATAGTTTTCAGCCTACAGATGCTGTACAGGTTTTATTAAATATATTCATAAGTATTTTATTTTTGGAGGCATTTAAATGGTATTGTTTTTAAATTTTATTTTCAATTGTTCTCCGCTAGTATATAGAAACGTAGTTGACTTTTATGTGAGATCTTGTGACCTGGGACTTTGTTAACCTCATTTGTTAGTTCTTAGAGGGTTATTTTTTAGTATATATTTTTTTTCTTTTTTCTTTTTTTCATTTATTTTTATTAGTTGGAGGCTAATTACTTTACATCATTGCAGTGGTTTTTGTCATACATTGAAATGAATTAGCCATGGTTTAGTATATTTTTAAAATAGATTTAGAAATATGTCATCTAATGGGGTTTTCTACACAGATGATCATGTTATCT